CTGGTGAGCGTTTTTTATTCGGCGTTTCGACATTGGGCGGAATGGGGGGCGAGGGGGGGGGGCTGGCTCCGGACCTCTGCTTAGTGCGACTGTTCGGAACCGTGCGTCCTCTGGGGGGCGACTCCACCCGCTCGAAACAGGCGCCCCAAAACGGCCAAGAGCTACTCCATGGGGGGGAGGGGGGGGTGCGAGGGCCGACGCCGATCGGCAAAATCATGACTAAGAAAACGCTCACTTGGCACATCGCCAGTCTGCCTGGCGTGCCCCGGCTGCCGGCCCCGGGCCCTCTCCGCCGAGCCCGAGCGCGCTGCGCGCCCCTCGTGCGGCTGCCGGCCACGCGGAGAGACCCGACTTCTGACAGCCCGCGCTGCGGCGCTCCTCGCCGTGACAGCCCGGCCCGGCCACTCGCGCCGTCCGCCGGGCCTGCGCTCCCCAGCCGCAGGCGTCTTCTTTTGTCACGGCGAGCTGATTCCCTCAGGCCCGCGCTGGCGCCGAACTGGCGAAGAGCGGCCGCGGCTGCGCTGAAGCAGGGGGAGGCGCGGGCGGGGCGGCGGAGGACGGGGCGGGGCCAGCGCACGAAGAAGATGCATCCACGACTGCGGCTGGAAACCGCGCGGCCTCGCGCCTCGGCGGGGGGGGGAAGGGGGCACCCGAAGGAGGCTGGGAGCAAGGGAGCGAAAAGGCCGGAAGAGAGCATCCCTGACAGACCGAGGCGAGCGCGAGCGCGCCACCGCGAGCGCGCACGCCCGCGCCCCCTCAAAGGCTCGGCCTGGATTTGTTCGCAAGCTGCGCAGGTGCGCTTCTCTGCCAAGCGTGCAAAGCGCCGCCGCGCTACCCCGCTACGCCCAGCGCAGGGGGGGGAGGCGCGCGAGGGAGGCTGGAGCGAAGGGAGCGGGGGCTCTTCGAGGAGGAGAAGGGAGAGGAAAAAGAGGCAGGTACGGAGGCAAGAGGCAGGAGGGAGGCAGGAAGGAGGAGGAGAGAGAGAGAGAGAAGGCAAGAGGAGGAGGAGGAGGAGGAGGAGGAGGAGGAGGAGGAGGAGGAGGTAGGAGGAAGGAGGAAGGAGGAGGGAGGAGGAGGAGGTAGGAGGAAGGAGGAGGAAGGAGGAGGAGGAGGAGGAAGAGGAGGAGGAGGAAGCAAGCTGGACGAGGGAGGAGCGGCTACAGAGTACGCGGAGGAGACGGCTGAGCGCGGGGCATGGCAAAGGGGGGAGGCGCGGGGCGCAAGGGGGGGGGCACGGCAGCCGAATGTCCTTCTCTCTCTCTCTCTCTGTCTCTGTCCCTCTCTCAAACCATTCTGCACACCTGGGCCCACCTGGGCCACTGCCGCCTAGGCCGCCTATGTCACCTCTGCCGCGTTTTCTGCCATGGCCCCACGGGGGCGCCACCCTGTGCCACAGGCGACTGGAAAGGAGGGGATAAGCGGGGTAATACTACGAAGAACAATGCGGATGATAGTCGTGATGAAATCCGACTAATAGCAGTACTAGTACTACTACCACTACTACTACGTACCACTACGTACCACTACTACTACTACTACTTCTTCTACTACTACTACTACTACTACTACTACTACTACTACTACTACTACTACTACTACTACTACTACCACCACTACGACTACTACTGCTGCTACTACTACTACTACTACTACTACTACTACTACTACTACTACTACTACTACTACTACTGCTACTACTACTACTACTACTACCACACTACTGCTACTACTACTACTACTACACACACACTACTACTACTACTACTACTACTACTACTACTACTACTACTACTACTACAACTACTACCTACTACTACTTACTACTACTACTACTCTGCTGATGCTGCTGCTGCTGTGATGCTGACTGCTGCTGCTGTTGCTGCTGCTGCTAATACTACTACTACTACTAATACTACTACTACTTCTCCTACGACTTCGACTACGACTACTACTATACTATTCTACTACTATACATACTTACTACTACGATACTACTATATACTACTTCTACTCCTACTACTTCTTCTAATACTACTACTACTATAACACTACAAACGGACTTTTCTTGATTTTTTTTTATTTATACTACTACGATACTACTACGACTCCATTCTACTAACTATTTTTACTTCTACTACTATTACAACTACTATACTACTACTATTACAACTACTACTGCTACTACTACTAGTACTATCACTACCACTACTACTACTCCTGCTACTACTAATACTACTACTACTACTACTACTACTACTACTACTACTACTACTACTACTGCTACTGCACACTACTACTACTACTACTACTACTACTACTACTACTACTACTACTACTACTACGGTACTACTACTACTCTTACTACTACGACTGCTACTACCACTACTGCTACTACGATTACTACTACTACTACTACTACTACTACTACTACTGCTACTACTACTACTACTACTACTACTAGTACTAGTACTACTAATACTAATACTATTACTATCAATACTTATTCTTCTTCGTCTTCTACTACTACTACTACTACTACTACTACTACTACTACTACTCTTACGAATGCAAAAACACGAATGGCATGACTAATAATAGTAATGCTACTCGTAAAAAAATACAGGGAGGTAGGAAACAAACACGGAATTCAAAAAACAAGGAATTTTAAATTGTAGGTTGTCGCGTAGAGATCGCAGCCCCGATGCGAGGCAGAGAGCAAAACTAGGAATCTAAAAAGCAAGAACCGGACCCGCGACACGGCATGAAATAAAACAAGGAACGCCCTGGAACAGCAGGGGGAAGATCTGGGGGAAGATCCGTCGGGAGATCTGGGGAGTGTCCAATTGAAGATCTGGCGCGGTTGCAAAGCGATAAATCTGGAGGAATGTTTGGCGGAAGATCTGGGGCAGATCTGAGGGAACATATCGGATATAATATTTGGCGGGGAGTCAGGAGGAAGATCTGGAGGGACATCTGAAGTGGAAGATCTGGGCGAAAATCTGGGGAATGTGCTGAGGGAGATTTGGCGGTGTAGTGCGTCGCAAATCTGCAGCAAGATTCGCGGAAAGATCTCGGGAACATCTGAAGAAAGATCTGAGGGAGAAGATATGGGGAAACATCTAGGGGAAGACCTGGGTAAAGATCTGGAGGACGATCTGGAGGAAGATCTGGGGGAAGATTTGAATCAATATCTGGGTGAATATATTGGGGAAACATAGAAAAGGCTCTGCGGGACAACATCAGGAAAGAGGAAAGATCAGAGGAAAGATCTGGGTGACGATTTGGAGGAAGATCTGGGGGAAGATCCGGCCGAAGATCTTGGAAAACATCCGGGGAGAGATTTGGGGAAAGATCTGGGAGAAAATCTGGAATAATATCTGGTGGGAGATCCGGGGCGAAGATCTGGAGGAACATCTGGAGGAACATCTGGGGGAAGATCTGGGGGAAGATCTGGGGGAAGAGCTGGAGGACGATCTGGAGGAAGATCTGGGGGAAGACCTGGGAGAAGATCTGGGAAAGATCTGGGGGGAGATCTGGGGTAACATCTGGAGGAAGATCTGGGGGAAGATCTGGGGGGAGATCTGGGGGAAGATCCGGAGGAAGATCTGGGAGAAGATCTGGGGAAGATAGAGGGAAAGATCTGGGGGAAGATCAGGGGGGAAATCTGGGGGAAGATCTGGGGGAAGATCTGGGCAAAGATCTTGGGGAAGATTTTGGGAAAGATCTGGAGGAAGATCTGGGGGAAGATCTGAGAGAAGATCTGGGGAAACATCTGGGGAAAATGCTGGGGAATAATTCGGGGGGAGATCTGGAGGAAGATCTGCCGGAAGATCTGGGCAAGATCTGGGGGAAATCTGGAGAAGGACGCGCGGGGAAAATCTGGAACAAGATCCGAAAAACGATCCGGGGAAAGACGTGGAAACGATTTGGCGGAATACCTGAGGGATGACCTGACGGAACCACGCGCCCTGAAATTACCCGAAATACCCCTTGCATTCCTCGGGGATGCCCAGCACCGATCTGCCGAGCTACGGCGCTCTTCGTCGTCGTCGTCGTCGTCGTCGTCGTCGTCGTCGTCGTCGTCGTCGTCGTCGTCGTCGTCGTCGTCGTCGTCGTCGTCGTCGTCGTCGTCGTCGTCGTCGTCGTCGTCGTCGTCTGGGGGCTTTCTGGAGCCCCCCCTGGATCGCAGTTTTACATCCCGGATCCGTTTCTGATGGCCCCGGCGGGGCCCGAAGACGGCCCCGAGAGGCCGAAAACGATGGAAAAAACCCTCGAACCTCAAAGCTCGAACCTCCTCCTCGGCCAAAATCCGCTCAAGATGGGTCCGCGGACCCCTCCCGGGTTCGCAGCGCGCCAGCTGTTCGCGCCCTCGAAGGCCAGAAGGCCTCGAACCTCGATCCCCCAGAACTTCCCCCCAGATCTGGGGCGAAGATCCGGGGGAAGATCTAGGGGGAGATCTGGAGGAAGCGGAAGCGGAAGCGGAAGCGCGCCCCAAACAGTCTGAGACTGGCCCCAATTCAGGGGGGGGCGGTACGCTGCGTGCAGGCAGGCGGGCCCGCCTACGGCAGCTGGCAAAACAAGTAAATATCAGACATGTGGCCTCGACTGCTCCTTCTGCTACTGCGACAGCCGGTTTGAAGACAGTTGAAACCGTCAAGGGGGGGAGGAAGGACGCACGAGAGCAGAGAGGGACGCACGACGAGCGGGGACGAGAGGCCGAGGAAAAGGAGAGGGAGGGACGAACGACGAGAGGGACGACGGAGGACACGCGAGCGGGGTTACCTGCGCGGCTGATTGCGCAATGTACGGCGAAAATCGAGCATGTGTCCTCGACTGCTCCATCTGATACTGCAACAGCTGGTCCGGAGATCTGGAGGAAGATCTGGGCAAAGATCTGGAGGAAGATCTGGGGAAAGATCTGGGGGGGAAGTCTGGGGGAAGATCTGGTGGGAGATCTGCGCGGCGATCTGGAAGAAGATCTGGGGGAAGATCTGGGGGGAAGATCTGGGGGAAGATCTGGGGGAAGATCTGGGCGAAGACATCTAAGCGAAGATCTGGGGGAAGATCTGGAGAAAGATCAGGAGAAAGATCTGGGGGAAAGATCTGGGGGAAGATCTGGGGGAAGCTCTGGAGAAAGATCTGGGGAAAGATCTGGGAGGAGATCTGGGGGAAGATCTGGGGGAGATCAGGGGGGAGATCTGGGCGAGGATCTGAGGAAAGATTCGGGTGAAGATCTAGGAGGGGATTTGGGCGAAGATCTGGGTGAAGATCTGGGGGGGTATTTGGGGAAGAAAAGGAGGAGAAGATCTGAATAACGATCTGGAGGAAGACCTCAAGATCTCCGTGACGACCTGGGAGGAGATCTGGGTGAAGATGTGGGGAGATCAAAAGAAACATCTGGGGGAAGATCTGGGTGAAGATCTGGAGGGCAATCTGGAGGAGAATCTGGGGGAAGATAACCGTGAGCATTTTGAATTTGGTTTTCGAGTAGCACTCGCGCGATGACGGCAGGGCATGAAACAAACCAAGGAATTCAAAAACATCTGGTTTTAGAGTAGAACCGAGAGACTGAGCCCGGGCATGTTGTCCTAGTTGTTTGAACGCCCTGTAATACTACGAACACTGGTAATACGAGAACGAAGAATGATAGGACATAGTAATCACAAGGCTAAACATGATAATCAACATCATGGAACAAGATAATTACACATTGTAACGACTCACAAACAACACTGATGCTACTATAAATGATGAGAATGATGATGATGATCATCATCATCAAAATACTTGTACGACGAAGAAGAATAAAATCAGCACAGTAACTCCCTGGCGGCGACAACGACGTTGACCGAGCAAGAGAGCGAGCGACCGACCGACGTACTGGACGGACGCACGCACGGACGCCGACAGCGACGACAACAAACGACGAGGATATTCTCCTCGACGACGACGACCGACCGACCGACCGACGAACCGACCGACCGACCGACCGACAGACCGACCGACCAACTTAATGGACGCACGCGCGGACAGCGACGGCGACGCCGACGACGACCACGACGAACGACGAGGCAATTCTCCTCGACGGCGACGACGTGGACGACGTGCGACGAGTGACGAGCGACGAGGACGAAATCCTCCCCGACGACTACCACGACAACGATGACGATGACGACGACGACGACGACGACGACGACGACGACGAGCGAAGGCCGCCGAGCGGAGCGCGGCCGCCGGTCCTGCGTCCGCGGGCTGGCTCTTGCGCACCATGCCGAGCCATGCGCGCGCCACTGCCGCGACCTCCACCGGGGGGGCGGGGGGCAGGGGGCGGGCCTGGGGTGAAGCCCGGGCCGTGCGAGGAGGACGTGCTCATCCGGAGGCTGTCGCTCACGAGCCAGCACGACCTCGCAGGCTGTGCTGGTGGCCGCTGTGGACCGAGCGTATGCTCGTGCCCGCACTCGTCGGCTAGGTCGATTTTCCGGCGGAGGGCCGGGAGGCCTTCTGAGAAGGGCCCAGAGGCTTCTGCGAAGGCTCCTTGGAAGCCTCTGGGCCCTTCTCAGAAGGCCCTCCCCCGTCGCGCCATCCCCTTTGTGCGGGCCGCCGACTTTGTCAGCCGAGCCAACGCGAAGCAAGTCGGATACCCAAGAGGTCGCCCCTCGAAGCGCGCCGCCGCCGAGGTGTGAAGCCGAAGGGGGAGGAAGAGGAAAAGCAGACGCCGCCTTCCACGGAGCATCTGGCGAGCGTAAAGGCGCCCCGCGATCCGCGCCGCGCGGTTATCTTTGCACCCTCGCCCCGCGCGGGCGACCGAATCGCATGACTTGGGCTCATCGTCTGCCAGCTTCGGCTGAGATGTGTACACGAGTGCTGGGCCTGGTGGCCTGAGCCTGTCGGAGAGAACCTCCCTCGCTCGTCGAAGGAACTGCGCTGGCGCCCAGGAGTCCAGAGGGAGCGCTGGCATCTCGGGTCGGGTCGGGCGGACCCTAACGGGCGGGTCGGGTCAAGTCGCGTCGGACCCTAACGGGCAAGTCGGGTCGGGCGGGCGGGACGTTAAAGCATGATGCGTCATCGAGTGGACACGCGAGAACCCTAACGGGTCGTGTCGGGACGGGACGGGCGGACCCTAACGGGCGGGTCGGGTCCAGTCGGCGGGACCCTAACGAACGAGTCGGGACAGGCGGGCTGGACATCAAAATCTGATGCAGCACTGAGGGGACACGCGAGAATCCTAAGGGGCGGGTATTGCCGGGTTGGGCGGACCCTTACGGGCGGGTCGGAGCGGGCGGGCGGGCCATTCAAGCATGATGCATCAACGAGTGGACACACGCGAGAGCCCTAACGGGTCGGGTCGGGTCGGGTCGGGCGGACCCTAACGGGCGGGTCGGGTCAAGTCGGGTCGGACCCCTAACGGGCGGTTCGGGTCGGGCGAGCAGGACATTAAAATATGATGCATTCGCGAATGGGTACGCGAGAACTCTAACGGGTCGGGTCGGGACGGGACGGATCGTCGGACGGACCATAACGGCCGGGTCGGGTCGGGTCGAGTGGACCCTAAGGGGCGGGTCGGGTCGGGTCGGGAGGACCTAACGGGTGGGTCGGGTCGGGCGGGCGGCCTAGGGGGTAAGCCTGGGATGTGCCTGAGGGAACGGCCTAGGAGTAGACCTAGTTTAGCCCAGGGGAAAGGGTTAGGGGTAGGCCTAGGTTAGCCCTAGGGGGTAGGCCTAGGCGTAGGCCTAGGGTAGGCCTAGGGGGAAGGCCTAGGCGTGGGCCCAGGGTAGGCCTAGGGGGAAGGCCTAGGGGCTAGGGTAGGCCTAGGGGGTAGGCCGAGGGGCACGCCTGGGGTAGGCCTAGGGGGTAGGCCTAGGGGTAGGCCGAGAGTAGGCCTAGGAGGAAGGGCTAGGGGTACTGTATGCCTAGGGTCGGCCTACGGGGGAGGCCTAGGGGTAGGCCTAGGCTAGGCCTGATTAGTGGGTAGTCCTAGGGGTAGGCCTGGGGTAGGCCTACCCTCCAGGTTCCATAAGCACAGACCCTCATCCACGCCCTCACCCACACCCACACCCATAACTGACTGACGCGCACGCTAAAGCCCAATCCCACGCCCACGCCGACGGCCGTACTCACGCCCGCGCCCACGCCCACGCCCAAACCCCACCCCCCACCACACACACACACAGACCCACTCCCACAGCCACAGCCACAGCCACAGCCACACACACACACACACACAAAAAAAACACTAGCACACACGACTCCCACGCCCATGCTCACTCCCACACCCAGACCCACACCCACACCCACGCCCACACCCACGCCCACACCCACACCCACGCCCACGCCCACACACACACACACACACACACACACACACGCACCCACACACGAACCCAAACCCACACACAAGAACACACACAAACACACACGCACATGCGAGCGCGCACTTACCAACACACACACACACACACACACACACACACACACACGCTCCCGCAAACACCCACAGAGCCCACGTCCACGCCAGCGCCCGGACGCACGCCCACGCCCACGCCCACGCCCACACCCACGCCCACGCCCGCGCCCACGCCCACGCCCGCGTCCAAGGCCACGCCCATGCCCACGCCCACGCCCGCGCCCGCGCTCACGCCAGCGCCCGCGCCCGCGCCTGCGTATGCGCCCACGCGCCCACGACCAGCCGCGGCGTCGCCCACGCGAGCGACGCCGCCGCGCGCGCAGCACCAGACCCGCAACAGCCACAGCTCCGCCGGCACGTCGCAGGGCTCGCCCGTGCATAGCCGCGCCGCTCTGGGGGGGGGGGGCCTCGGCGAACCCCGGCCCCACGGCCTCGGAGAACCGCGCGCCGCCGACAGCCCAAGACCTCGCGATGCCAAACCCGCGCGACCACGGCGCCAGCCTGCTCCCGTCTGGCCCTGCACGCTGGTACCAAGGTTCAAGAGCGCCACGCTGCACGCGGGTCACGTGCTCGGCGCAGATGCCCTTGTCGAAGCACGGCTGGCGCAGGAGACGGCAAAACTCCGGGAACTGGTCCTCCCCCGTCGCTGCCGCGCACCTGGCCGCGGCCGCGCGCTGCCGCGCGCGGGCGCGCTCGGCTTCCACCGCCGCGCGCGCGACGGGCCCCCGTGCGTTCTGCGGCGCGAACTGCAACCTCTTCCACCACGCAGCGACGTCCCCGTCGGAAAGATTACCCCCCCCAGCACGCTCGCGAACGAAATCCCGCTGGCACTTCGCGCAAAGAAAATCCGAGGCCAGGAGAAGGAACACGCTGCCGTGCACCGCGGCGCCAGCAGCGCCCTCCGTCTGCGCCGCCTCGGCGTACCGGGGCGCAGCGGCGCTCGCCAGCGCAGGGCCTCGCAACGGCAGCACGCCCAGACGCTGCGCTCGACGCCGTCCGCCGCGAGCTGGTCGAGCAGGCGCTGCCGCTGCTCCCAGGGCCAGGGTTCTTGTGCGTCCGACCCGGGCACGGGCGTGCGGCGCAGCAGGTCGGCGTCGTCCCTGCGCAGCTCCCGGATGGTCTGTGCCCGCGCTCGATTGTCCCGCGCTGTGGCCTCCTGCCGCCCCAGGCCGATCTCCACCAGGCCCAGGAGCCGCGCCACTGGGTCGACCCCCATCGAAGAACCCAGGTGCGACCTGGACGTCGGACATCATGCCCGCCAGCACGTGCCGCACGTAGTCTGCACCGTTGGCACTGATGTCGGCCGGCACCTCGCCCTCCTCCCCAGCGGCCCGTCGGCCTCAAGCGCCTCGCGGACCTCCTCGTCCTCGGCCAGGGCGCCAAAAACGTCGAGGCCGAGCGCGGCACCCGGCCTCCGCGCGCCCACGAACGTCATCAGAGCCCTCGAGAGCGCAGTCTTCACCGGCTGCGCGAGGGCCCTGTCCGCTCTCTGCGCCCGCGCGAACAGTTCCCGCGAGACCTCGGCGCGCCGCTCCTCGGCAACGCAGTCGCCCGCCAGAGCCTCCGCGTCCTCCTCTTCTCCAGAATCACCGACGTCCCGCGCCGCCATGGACTCGTCCCCCGCCTCCTCTTCGGCAGCTGCGCTCTGGAGCTGCTCCTGGCGCTGCTCCTCCACCCGCCGCGTTTGCTCGCCCCTGTCGCGGGCGTCACGACGCGCGGCGGCGCCCTGGATGAATCTCTCCCGCAGCTGCTCGAAGGTAATTATCCTGCACGTTCAACATGGACGCGCGCCCGTGCCTTCTCGCGCGGCCACCCCTGGTGCTCCTCTTCAGTTCAGCTGCGCTCCCGAAGCTGCTGCTGTTACCTTCCCCACTACTCATCCACATCCTCTACCTCCGCCTCCTCCTCCTCCCCCTGGCCGGTCAGAAACCGATGAAAACTACATCCCCCAACCTTTCCTGGTGTCTAACCTCTCTTCTCTTGTTTTGGCCAATGAGATCACGAACACCCCCGACGGGCACCAGCCCTGGCAGTCCCGACCCCTCCTGGGGCCCATCCTGGCCAGCCCTCAGGATAGGATCGGTTTCAGGCGGCCCAGGGTCCCGAAAAAGGCCCACCCCAGGCTGAAGTTGGAAAGAAACGTCGGGCCCGTGTTTTGCCATCGCGAGTTGGTGGGAGGGGTCTGGAAGAAGATTCCAGCGGCGAGAGGATGGCCGATGGAGACAGCGGCGGCTCTCCCGCCCGCCCAAACCCGCTCGAAATCGGTTCCCGGACCCTTCCAAGGGATCCATCCCTGACGCGTTTTTCAGGGCAGATCCAGCCGTGACGACGAGGAGGCCTCCAGGAGGCCCCCCCAAAAAAACAAAACGCAATGACGGGCCGTCGTTGTCTCGACCGGCCCTCCTCCGAGTAGAGCGGCAGCCGAGATGCGCCCCGCTGCTCGACGACGACGACGACGACGACGACGTCGACGACGACGACGCCGCCGCCGCCGCCGCCGCCGCCGCCCCCGCCCCGCCGCCGCCGCCGCCGCCGCCGCCGCCGCCGCCGCCACCGCGCAGCCGCCGACGGCCACTGGAGTCCTGCGAGGGCCGCCGAGGGCCTGCGAGGGCCGGCAAAAGCCTCCAACGGCGGCGGCTGTCGATTCGACGATGACGACGACGACGACGACGACGACGACGACGACGACGACGACGACGACGACGACGACGATGTTGACTACGAGGACGACGAGCACGACGAGCACGGAGGACGAGGACGAGGACGACGCTACGCCGCTCGCCTGCGGGTCCACCTCCTTGCACCGCGCGCTGGGGGGCAGCGCGGCCCTCGGCGCCACGGCGCCGTCGGCGCCCCCGCCGGCGTCGCGCCGCCTCGCGGACCACGCCGATGGCCGATGACGGCGACGGCGGCGGCAACGCCGATGACGGCGGCGACGGCGGTGGCGACGGCGACGCCGCTGCCAGCGAGACCGACGCCGACGGCGGCGGCGGGGGTGGCGGTGGTGACGCCGACGCGACGACGGCGACGGTGACGGTCCTGGGCACGTTGGGGGATTGGGGTTCGATGCATCCCCCCTTCTGCCTATCCCCCCCTATCGTTGCCCCTGAGGGGGAGCGAGGAGGGCGGGGTGGGCAACCGAAACATGTCGCTCGGGTGGGGGGGGCGGGCAGGCCGAGTGTTGGTGGTTCTGCCGCGCGCCCTTGTTGAGGCAGGGGGGCGGGCAGACTCATGAAGGCATTAAGATCCCCCCCCTTCCAGCGAAACGATAACACACCCAGCACGATGAAGCGTGAGTGGCCCCCCGGCACTGGGCCGTTGCTCGGCATTCCCCTGGAGCCCCCAGCAATCCTCGAAAGTGGGGAGGAGGAGAAGGAGGAGGAGGAGGAGGAGGAGGAGAAGGAGGAGCACGAGGAGGAGGAGGAGGAGGAGGAGGAGGGGGAGGAGGACAGAGAGAAAAGAACAGAAAGGAGGGGAAGGAGGAGGAGGAGGAGGAGAAGGAAGAGGTTTCCAGCCAGCCCTTTAGGGTGTTGGCAGTTCGCCGTATTCTGCGTTCGAGGCCCTTGCGTTCGTATCGCCAATACTTACTATAGATGTCAGTCGCGCGGGGGAGACGGGGGCAATCATTATTTATGTGTTGCGGCGGTGCTAAAGGTATCGCTCCACTAAATCCGGCCCCGCGGATTATTTCATGTTCGTTTGTCATCAAACTGCAGCCCGCATCCTCGCCAGAGCGGACCTCACCTGTGGAAGCAGCTCTCTGCGCGAGACTCTCACCTGATTCGCCTGGGCGGCATTGTACAATAGAAGGCCTGCGGCCACAGGTTCAAAAGAGAGATACGTGATGGGGAGGAAACGCCAAGACGCTCGAACGGACAATGAGGCAAGACAACATTCTCTCCACCCCTTCCTCCTCCTCCTCCTCCTCCTCCTCCTCCTCCTCCTCCTCCTCCTCCTCCTCCTCCTCCTCCTCCTCCTCCTCCTCCTCCTCCCTCCTCCTCCTCCTCCCTCCTCCCTCCCCCCTCCCCCTCCTCCTCCTCCTCCCCCCTCCTCGCCGAGGGGCGCACGCCTCTCTTGCTTGGCGCACGAGAACGACAGCGCCGTGAGCAGCGTCACCACCGCGGCAACGCCCGCGTGGGGCCACTCGCCCGAGGCCGCCGCCAGCGACACGCCCGCGAGGACGGTGGAAGGGCCCTTGATGTCCACCTGCCCGCCCACCCCGGAAGGAGGAGGGGCGGGGACCCAGAGGTCCGAGGATCTGATTGTTTCAATCGGGCTACTCCCCCTGGATTTCGGCCTCCGGGGCCCGTCGTCGGGCCCGGGGGCCAGAACATGGATCCGGGACGAACAAACATACTCCCGGGGAAGTGTTCGGGACCTCTTGGGCCGCGGATTGAAAAAAACATATCGGCGGATGTCCGGGGAGGAGGAGGAGGAGGAGGAGGAGGAGGAGGCCCATGTCTATGACACTCTCGGTCCTTGCGGCGAGAGCTGATGCTGGCCATCGCTGATTTTCTCTGCCCCGCCTCCCAGTTGTTGCCACTCTCGCGTTGACGTTGCATACATGGCCACCTCTGACGTCCGTCGAAGAAAGATGGAAGATGGGGGGGTGGAAGGGCAAAAAGCGGCATAAGCACAAACGGTCGGAGGTGAGCGCGGATGCCTTGGGTCGGCGTTTGATCCCCCTGGCGGCGACTGCCGACCCAGGGAATCTCCCCCGACCTCCGAAAGTATGTGCTCTAGGCCCGTTTGTCCTTCTTCGATGAGGGGCAAAGAACACTCTCATGACACAGGTTCGTCAGCGATCGCAGCAGGAGGGTAGCAGCAGCAGCAGCCTGGCGCGCCTGAAAGCCATCGTGGAGGGAGGAGGGGAGGGAGAGGGAGGAGGGATGGAGAGGGAGGGAGGGAGGGAGGGAGGGAGGGAGGAGGTCACTCAACCTCATCACCATCTCCATCCATCTTTCTCCTCCTAGGGAGGGGGAGCGGGGATGGAGAGGGAGGGAGGGAGGGAAGGAGGGAGGGAGGAAGTCCCTCAACCTCATCACCATATCCATCCATCCTCCTCCTCCTCCTCCTCCTCCTCCTCCTCCTCCTCCTCCTCCTCCTCCTCCTCCTCCTCCTCCTCCTCCTCCTCCTCCTCCTCCTCCTCCTTTCCTTCTCATTATGAATAACTTCTCCCTGTCGCACCCCGAGGCCAGTTTTAGGGCGGACCGGTTTCGCCTGAGACTTCCTCACCGCTTAAGACCCTGAAGAATAAGAGTTGACAACAGTTTCACAGACGGAGGGCGGGTGGTTTTCAAAACGTGGCTCTTGCCTTAGCGCCGTGCACATTCGTTTTCAAAACTTGCCACAGCTTCACGGATGGAGGGCGGGTGGTTTTCAAAGTGTGGCTCTCGCCTTAGCGCCGCGCACATTCGTTTTCAAAATTTGCCCCCAACAAAAAACACGGAGTGAGGGCGGGTGGTTTTCAAAATGTGGCTCTAGCCTTGGCGCCGCGCACATTCGTTTTAAACATGTGCAAGAGCTTCACGGATTGAAGGCGGCTCCTTTTCGAAATGTGGCTCTGGCTCTCGCCTTAGCGCCGCGCACATTATTGCTAAACAATCGCGAATGTTTCACGGACTCCCGTGATCGACGTACCAGAAATGGTGGCTTGGAAGGATTCACGATTATGAGGGCGCAACAGTTACGATGATTCGCGGTGGAGTCCCAGGAATGGCGTTCTGGCACGATTCAGGATCGTCAATGCGCAACAAGCAGGTTGATCCGTGGCGTTGGAATACCGAGAATAATGTGTTGGCATGCTTCAGGGTCTTCGAACGGCTGTCTTCCAACGAGGCAGGTCCCTCTGTGGAAATGAACCGTTGTAGGGGCCTATGAAGAGGGAGCTTGTGGGGAGGGTTTATTCCAACATCGTTGGTGACCCTTGGGTTTACACTGGTCCTCCTCCTCCTCCTCCTCCACCTCCTCCTCCTCCCCCTCACCCTCCTCCTCCTCCTCCTCCTCCTCCCCCTCCCCCTCCTCCTCCTCATTCCTCCTTCCCCATTCCTCATTCCTCCTTCCTCATTCCTCCTTCTGCTTTTTCACAACGTGCCCGCCCACCCCGAGGGAGAAGGGGGGACGGGGGGGACGGGGGATGGAGGCGGAAAGGGAAGAAGGCCTCCAAATCTCTGACGATGCCCCGCTCCGCACTCCCTCCTCCACAGGCGGCGGCCCCACCTCGGCGGGGGTTCAAGAACCGATCCGCGGTCCACGAGGAGGAGGAGGAGCAGGAGCAGGAGGAGGAGGAGGAGGAGGAGGAGGAAGAGGTGGAGGAAGAGGTGGTGGAGGAGCAGGAGGAGGAAGAGGAGGAGGAGGAGGGACGAACCGTGACCGGACTAGCTGCATTGGCAAAATGCGGTCGATGACTCTCTGAATAACCGACCGCGGATGACTATGCTGGGCGGCGTGATTGCCCAGTTGGCAGCCTGGGAGAAAGGGCAAACCGTCACAAATCGCGAGACGTGAGCCCTGGGAACAGCCAACCGAGGCTGGCTGCTCCAGGGGGCAGACCCGCTGCGCTCCACTGGCGCCCGCGAGAGGCTACTCCCCCAAAGTAGCCGACCGCTGGCTGGTCTGGGTTAGATCACAGCAGCTGGAAACCTCCAAATATCCGAACCGAAGGCCTGCATTCACTCAAAGCTGAAAGGCCCATCCTCGCTCGGAAGGCTCTTCGAGCTGCCCAGAAAACAGAGAGAGAGAGAGAGAGCACTTACACCCACAACCAGACATCGGCATCGTCTACCGTGGGGCTACTCCTCCCAGAGCGCCCCACGGGTCCCCGCCGCCCGCGTTGCAGCGCCTGGCGAGCGCGTGGCTGGTATGGATGGGCACGGCCAGGTGTCGCTCCCCCCCCCCCGGCGTCCACACGAGAACACGAGCTGTGTGCCAACACCGATCTTCGCCCGGCCCAGGACTGGCCTGGCCGGGATCGGCACAGGCGGATAGTTGGCGCCCTGTGGTCCCAGCTGGTCATCCCCCCTGCCTCCGAAGGTCGCTCAGGGCCCCCGAACACTGCCGAACCGCTGTACCGATGGTGACGACCACCACCACCACCACCACCACGACGAAGACGACGACGACGACGACGACGACGACGACGACGACGACGACGACGACGACGACGACGACGACGACGACGACGACGACGACGGCGGCGGCGGCGGCGGCGGCGGCGGCGGCGGCGGCGGCGGCGTCGACGCCGCGCCCCCCTGAGGAGCCCCGCCTCCCAAGGCGTCCCATGGGCCCCCGCCGCGCCCGCGCCGCCGCGCCCGGCGGCCACGTGGCCGACCATCCGGGCGCCCCGAGGGGCGGCGGGGGGGCCGCGCGGGGACGACGCCTCTGAGAGGCCCCCCCGGCGGGCGTCGGCGCGGCTTGCAGAGGGCGCCGGCCGCGGAGGCGGAGAAGGCTCGCGGCTGGCGGCGCGCACACGGGGCGTGGGCGGAGAGGGGGAGAGGGGGGCGAGGGAGAGGGGGTCGAGAGCGAGCTATAGGTGCGCTCGCGACTCATCTGACAGCCTATCCCTACCTCCCGTCCCTTCCCATGGCGCTGATGTTTCTCTATCCGCGGACCCGCACCGCGGAAGCCCACTTCAGCCACGCAGTCAAGGACAGTGTGACCGCTCGGCCCCCTCACTCTGAGATGTACTTATACATAGAGTACGCATAGCATAGCTTACATAGCATGATTTGCTCCACGTAGCTTCACCACATAATTAATAACATGTAGATGGCACGCTATACAAAACGCATCGCATAGCTTGCAACAATCCCACCAGCCCTTTGGGCGTGAGTGGTTTAGAGAGCCCGCTCTGTTCTCAACCCCCCTTCTTCCCCTTCGGGGAGAGGTTTACCCCTCCCCCTACCCCCTCCCCCTGGGCCTGGAGAGGTCCCTCCGCGGGTCGCCGGAGGGGTCTTTTTCGACTCCTCGGAGGGCTAAAAAACGACACCCCTCACGAGGATTCTGGCCCCGACGGGGGGAGGGAGAAAAGTGCTCCCCCCTTCTTTGAAGCCAAAATCACTACGGTTTTGGCCCCATTTTGGCCTTCTGAGGGGGCAGCGCTAATTAAAGCTCCCCTCTTCTTTCAAGCCAAAATCATTGATTTTTTTTAAGGTTTTGGCCCCATTTTGGCCTTCTGAAGGGGCAGCGCTAATTAAAGCTCCCCTCTTCTTTGATCGATTTCCTCCAAGATGGCCCCAAGAAGCGCCCAGGAGGCACCAAGAGGCCCCAAGATGGCCCCAAGAGGCCCCCAGGAGGCCCCCAAGAGGATCCCAAACGGCCCAAAGAGGCCCCCCCGAGGCACCCAAGACGCCGAAAAGCCCATCAGGACGACCCTCTACTCGCCTGGGCGTCGTTTCTGGACGGGCAGGAGGAGGGGCCCGAACGACTCACACCAGGACGAGGGGCCCGAACAACTCACACCACGAGAAGCCCGAACGACTCACACCAGGACGAAGAGCCCGAACGACTCACACCACGAAGAGCCCGAACGACTCACACCAGGAAGAAGGGCCCGAACGACTCACACCAGGACGAGAAGCCCGAACGACTCAAACCACGAGGAGCGCTTTCTCTCCCTCCTCCTCCGCCTCGTCCTTCTCCCGCTCCCACCACAAGGAGGATGTACAAGGAGGCGGGAGGAAGGAGGAACAGGGGAGATATGCGGGGGCAGGCGGAAACACGCCTGAAAAACACGACTGTCGGCATGCTTCGCTAGAGTTGCTGTTTTGAGATGGGCTGGTGGGGATACGCGAAGCGTGAAGAATAACATGTAGATGGCACGCTATGCAAAACGCATCGCATAGCTTGCAACACATACATTTCAGACCGAGGATGCAATAGACTGCTTTTCGGGTTCCACCGTGGCTTACATGTAGTGCTTGAGGAGTTGGTTTGTCCTCAGCTGAGTTGGCCATGACAGGAACCACTGCGACACTGTCTTCTCTCTGTCGGGCATGCGTGAGAGCGTTGTCTTGCAAGCTTAGTTGAAACGCACTCGCCTGACTCGAATAACTACGCCCAGGTGACTTACAAGTGTACTTTGGGTGTGTCCATGCACCGCACCCTTACTCATTCATCCAATACAAGACAATAGACGTACCCACGAACACGCCCCCCTGGCGCCAATCGTCGACATGACCTTTCCGCTGACAGGTCGAGTCGCACTAGTACAGGCAGTAGCATCTGCCAACCATTCGTGATTGAAGGAAGCCGTACGAACATCCCCTTGAGATAGTCGCAATACACCCTACAATTACTCGGAGAAACCTCTCCACCCCCTCACCTTCGTTCTCACCATCGGGGTGCTCACCATTGTGCACTTTGCTCAGCCGGCTGACTGTGTAGTCTGCAATGACTTCCCACTGGGTTGCCAAAACTCTGTCGCACAGCACTTCCAGCCAGGCTTGTGAAGGAAGTCCAGCAAATAATGACAATAGCGCTGATTGCCACATGACCAGTGCCCCAGCCTGCAGTAATGTTGTGACGGGTCGAACACTGATATGTTCCATGAGCGGCACTCAGAGTTGTGGCCGCGGTTAGCGGATGCGATACCCAATACTATGCTCCTCGGTGGGGCGACATAGAATAGTGAATCAAAGACGTCGGCCACAAATCTGTGCGTAACGGTGCAACACACAATACGCACTCTGAGCGTTTACATCGTACTCGTCGTCGGTACGTCCCAATGGCTCTGAAGTAGCATGAGGGTACCTTAACCAACCCACAGAGGTCGTCGATCGAGCACACGACACCTTACCTAACAGTTATCCGCCCTGGCCCCATGGGACTAGTCCACTCCAACACATCATGTTTCTTGTACCTGGTCCAGCGCAAGAAGGGCTCGCTGCAACAAGACTGGAGCAGCAATTACTTGATGCGGCCAAGCATGCAAGACATCGCCGACCTCTTTGATTGGGCCGGGTCTCAAACTTGTCGGACACCATTGGGAAGGTTAATGAAGTCACGCTAAATCGCTAACATGAATATCGAACTGCAGAGGCAAACGACAACGGGCACTCGTGGAGTCCCAGGGCTGAAACTCTAAATAACTCCATCAAGATCTGCTGTCAACTTCATGCAGGCGCTCGGCTCGGCCCTGACAAAGCAACTGTTCTGATTCAGAACCACATAAACCTGCTCCGTAGCTGCAGTCTAACGGAATTCCGTGTCGTAGGGCTGAGCTGTGACTGCCATTGAGATTGACGCACAGCAATGTTTTAGCCAGTCGTGTGTATACACGCGCTCAGCCCTGGCTGCACAATAACTAAACGGTCATATGATGGGGTGTATGCTGTGGCCCGACTTACTGACTGAGGGCCAAGCTGGTAAAATCGTCCTCGCCCGCGCCCGTCAGAAGGGGAGGATTCGGATGGCAACTGAGCCCCGAGGAGAAGGACGAGCAGGCGAAGCATGATATCGATCTCGATCCCTCCTGCAGGTGAAGCGACTGCAGGAGGGTGAAGCAGGTGAAGCGACTGCAAAGTTGGGCACCTCCTCCTCATTCTCTTGCACACCCTCCCCGACTCTGTCCTCAACTTCCTCGCTCGACCTCGATCCCCTCCACTTCCTTTTTCCCCAAACAGCTTGCTGAACGGGGTGCTGTTGTGATAGAAGCTAATTCCGGCCGAGGGAAAGCTAAGCAGAGACATCCTCAAACAAATGTGGTGGTCCGGCCCGTTTCGCCTGAGACATCCTCACAACTCTCGTTTCTGAGTTGTCCGGGATTGAGCGTTTCGCCTGAGACATCCTCCTAAATCTGAGCTCTGAGAGGCCGCGCGAGAGGTGGTCCGGGCCATTTCGCTTAAGACATCCTCGAAACTCTGAGCTCCCAGATACCGCGCGAGAGGTGGTCCGGGCCGTTTCGCCTGAGACATCCTCGCAACTCTGAGCTCCAAGATGCCGCGCGCGAGGTGGTCCGGCCCGTTTCGCCTGAGACATCCTCGAAACTCTGATCTCCCCGATGCCGCGCGCGAGGTGGTCCGGCCCGTTTCGCCTGAGACATCCTCGAACTTCTGAGCTCTGAGATGCCCTGCGCGAGGTGGTCCGGCCCGTCTCGCCTGAGAAATCCTTGCAACTCTGAGATCTGAGATGCCGTGCGCAAGGTGGTCCGGCCTGTTTCGCACAAGATATTCTCGCAACTCTGAGCTCTCAGATGCTGCGCAAGAGGTGGTCCAGCCTGGGGGCCCAGAAGGCCACATGTTACATATCCTCCATGGGACCCTGCGAGCCTCAGGAGGCCCCAGAGAGGTCCAGGAGGCCGCAGGACGCCCAGGACAGGCCCCAGGGGCCCCCAGGAGATTCCCAGGAGGCCCCAGGAGGCCCTTATCAGAACGTGTCAAGTTAATACACATCCGGTGTCGATTCGTTGATTTTTCCTGCTCTTGTGCCCCCCCCCCCTCCATTTGGAGAGGCCCAAACGGCCACAGGTTAGATATCCCCCCTGGGAGCCCCAAGAGGCTTCAGGAAACCCCAGGTGGAGTTCACGAGGCCACAGGAGGCCCAGGAGGAAGCTCCAGGAGGTCCCCAGGAGGCCCCAGGAGGCACCAGGAGGCCCCCGCAACTCGGAGCTCTGAGACGCCGCGCTCGAGGTGGTCCAGCCCGTTTCGCCTGAGACTTCCTCGCAGCACGTTTCGCCCGAGACATCGTCGCAACTCTGGGGTCCGAGATGCCGCGCGCGAGGTGGTCCAGCCCGTTACGCTGGAGACATCCTCGCAACTCTAGGCTCCGAAATGCCGTTCGCGATGAAGAGGAGGTGGAGGAGGAGGAGGAGGAGGAGGAGGAGGAGGAGGAGATGGAAGGGAGAAGGAGGAGGCGGATGATGTGCATGAGGGAGCAGGCAGGAGGAGGGGGAGGTCCCAGAGAGCTTCAGGAGGCCGCAGGACGCCCAGGACAGGCCCCAGGGGTCCGCAGGAGATTCCCAGGAGGCTCCCAGGAGGCCCCAGGAGGCCCTCTATCAGAACGTGTCAAGTTAATACACATCCGGTGTCGATTCGTTGATTTTTCCTGCTCCTGTGGCCCCCCCCTGTATTTGGAGAGGCCCAAACGGCCACAGGTTAGATATCCCCCCTGGGAGCCCCAAGATGCTTCAGGAAACCTCAGGTGGAGTTCAGGAGGCCACAGGAGGCCCGGGAGGAAGCCCCAGGAGGTCCCCAGGAGGCCCCAGGAGGCACCAGGAGGCCCCCGCAACTCGGAGCTCTGAGACGCCGCGCTCGAGGTGGTCCGGCCCGTTTCGCCTGAGACTTCCTCGCAGCACGTTTCGCCCGAGACATCGTCGCAACTCTGGGGTCCGAAATGCCGCGCGCGAGGTGGTCCAGCCCGTTACGCTGGAGACATCCTCGCAACTCTGGGTTCCGAGATGCCTTTCGGGATGAAGAGGAGGTGGACGAGGAGGAGGAGGAGGAGGAGGAGGAGGAGGCATGTTTTAACATGCCATGCCAGCCCGCACTAGGCGGGCACGCAATCGACCTTGGAAACCGCAGTGGGTCTAAAAACCCTGTTTGGGGATACTGCACTCCGGCTATAATTGAATATTCTTCTTACTCGGTCCTCCTCGGTCCTCCTCCTCCTCCTCCTCCTCCTCCTCCTCCTCCTCCTCCTCCTTGGTCCATGCCTCACATTTGCTCCGGGCTCACCCACTCCGCCCAAAAGATCAGAGGCGAACTCCTGACTTGGGCCGTCCAGAGTGCAGAGCTCGAGCGTGGCCGTCGAGCATCACCAGCCCGCCTTCCCCCTCCATCATCCCCCTTCCCATCCCAGTCCACATTACCACCTTCCTCCTCTTCCACCTCCCCTGGTGGAGGACGGCGACCACGACAATCATGAAAATCAGGAGGAGGAGGAGGAGGAGGGGCAAGCGGAGGGAGAGAAGGACGACTGCGAAGAGGAGGACGAGGACGAGGTGGAAGTGAAGCGAGGAGGACGAGGACGTGAAAGAGATGCTGGCCATCCTCCTCCAGCACCCGCTCAAACTCGGCCCCCTGACCCCTCCCGGGATCCGCCCTGGCAAGGTCCTCCGAACCGTGCCAAGCAGTGGCGACGAGAACCCTCCGAGGCGCCGGAAGACCTCCGAAGCGAAGAAGCGGACTATGCCGACGTCGTCGGCATGGACGCCAGCGACAGCAGCAGCACCTGGTGTGTCGAGCGCGGGCCCGCAGGCGCAACAGCGGCGGCTGCTCGCTCGGGCGGGGGGGGGGGCGACGACGCCGACGTCGGCAACAGTCAGCCGTAGGAGCCTTGCAGGAAGGCAAGGGGTCCTGATCAGGGGGTAGGAAGTGGGAGGAGCCAGAGGCGGGGTTGGAGGGCAATCGCGCTGGACGGCCCCTGGACGAGGGCGATATCAGGCTCGAACTGGGCCCTTTTCCCTCGGGACCTCTTTCTCGGCATCGTCAGGCGTATGCCCATCCCCCAGTGGACCAGGGTTCCTCAGCGCCACCTGCCTGCCACCTCGAGGCGGGGAATGGAGCCCGAGAGATCCGCAGACAGCACCCAGGTGGGTAAGTCCGACAAGGGGGCCAGGGTTGTCCCACAGGGGATTGCTCTTCCGACTCTGGCCTCCCCCCTTCATGGCGAGGCACCGTGGGGCTACCTGGCCAGCCAAACCATGTGAGCAACACGTTGACGCAGTCGTCGCCTTGCATCTCAGGCGCGCTGCTTACACATACCTGTCTGATCTCCTGGCCTTCCCAGAAAATGAGCTCAGCGGCAATCAGCATGAGGGGAAACGATAAGGGGGGACTGGCATAGAGAGGGGGGATGCATCGACCTGGAATCGGCGATACATTGTCGATAGCTCGGCGAAAAGCCCCCGATAGCGAAACCACACCTTCCTGGGCGGGTTGGGGCTACCAGGCTCCTATCGGCGATCAATGGGCAAGTAGGGGTCGATGAACCCCCTTATGCATTTCCGCACCTATACAGCAGCCTGCAGCAGCAGCCTGCAGCAGCAGCAGCAGCAGCAGCAGCAGCAGCAGCAGGCAGCAGGCAGCGGCGACCGCTCTTCTTCGCCGCGGGAGCCACCAGTCCGGGGAAGACCATCCCGTGGCCGTCTGCAGGGGCCACCGAGCGCCTCTTCGGCATGACCTTCTTCATGGCCTGTGACTGGGGGGGACGGGCGCGGGGGCGGGGAGAGGATGTGGAGGAAGAGCAGGGGGTGCGGAGTCTGCCCGACGCCCCTGCTGTATCGTGTGCGTTCGCTCTGCTACTGTACCTCTTGTTTGTTTCCCTTTTTGCTGGCGTGGGCTTCAACTGTCGCGTCCTCAATAAATGGAGGAGAGAGAGGAGGAGCGAGGACGAGGGAAGAGGAGGAGGAAGAGGAGGAGGAGGAGAAGGGGAAAACGATCCGCCGACAATGCGCAACTATGCACCCCTCCCCATCGAACCCATTTTACGTTTATGGGCGTACAATTTTTAGTCCGGCATTCGTCGCGCCTGTTGCTCGCGCGCGACTGCCAGCGCTGGCGCGACCAGGATGCTCATTCGTCTCGATTGCGGGGCGGCGCGCGAACGTCTCCCGCATGAGCATGCGGGACTGGCAACTGAACGACGCTTGATGGCACAATCTGGCGCCAGCTGACAGAGCAGAAATAAAACAGCGTCGCGTGACGGGAAGGGAGATTTACGCGTGCGTGCGTGCGTTGAGAATGGAGGAGGACGCGGTGCGGGAAATCGTGGAACCAGAAGCCACAGCAGGGGCGCCGCAATCAAGGCGGGTCGTCGCTGAGCGCGCGGCGGGGAGTTCAACGCGGTTGCCATCGCAGCGCGGCGCGCGTCATTGTCGCCCGAATGACGGTTTGCCGCCATCAATCACGAGGCAGCCCTCGGCCACCAAGATCGCTAAAGTTGTTTTGAGCCAGCTCTGGCATGAGCAGAAGGGGAAGGAGGGAAAGGGGGGGGAAGGCGGAGAGGCAGGAGAACGGGAAACCGGAGGGGGAGGGAGGAGGAGGGGAAAGAGGAGGGGTAAGGGAGCAGGGAGGGGAAGAGGGAGGACGAGGTAGCGAAAGAGGGAGGCAGGACACGGCCGTGCCTGCCTGCCGCGCGGCTTGAGCATGTCTCGCGGGTTGAGCCACTCGCGTGGCCTAACGCAGAACGCCCATGGATTGCAGGCTGCCCGGGCGGGGTGGTGTACGCTGGGGTGGTGCACGCTGGGGACGGCTGGTGATGCACTCTGGGGACGCCAACCAAATGGTGCACACTGGTGGTGTTCACTGGGGAGACCGTTTCGGGCGCATGCGATGCACACTGGGGACTGCACAGAATACAAATCACACACACAAGCGCCCAGCTTTCACCCCTCTCGGCGCCACCAACGTGCACCACTTGGCGGTTCTAAGCAAAGAAGGATTTGGCAGTCGAAATTATACCGACCATCGGGGCGCCCCTCACACTGTGCACCACGAGGCGGCCCCCCGAGGAGTGTCCCGGGAGTGTCCCAGCAGCAGGCAGGGACGACGGAATGAAAGCTTGGAGCCCATGAGGGGGGCGAGGGCGCAGAGAGCCAGAAACGGGAGGAGACAGGAGAGGACCGAGCGTGCAGAGAGCAGAGGCGAGGGGGGCGAGGGGGAGGGGAGGGAGGGCAGGGGGGGGAGAGGAGAGGGGAACGGGAGGGACGGGAAGGGGGGAAGGAGCACGAGAGGAAGGGGAGGTTGAGCACGGGAGCGAGGATTGGGGGGCGAAGGCGAAGGCACGGGAGATAGGAGGTCTCGCCCCCCCGTGCCCTTCCAATCAGGACCGAGCCACGCTCTCGGCCGAACCACGGCCCTTGCGGGCCTTGCCCTCCCGCGGAGGTCCCCTGACTCATCCCTGGCAAAAAGGGACGAGGGACGTGGGCGGCATGGCCCGGCGGACTGCGGCGCATTAGTGTGTCTCGGAAGACCGGGGTGCGTTTGCAGACCCAGCCCGGCAAAGCACGGCAAGGCACATGTTTCACTCTGGAGAACAAGCGCAAGCGCGGCACAGCACGGCGCGGCGCATGTTCTGCCTTCTGAAAACCACGCACCGCAAAGCAAGGCACGGCACGGCACAGCGGGGTGGTCGGCAACGGCCACCGCCGCGAAGCAAGACAAAGGTCAACCGTGCACAAGCCAGCATCCGCACATGAACTGGATACAAATCTGGGTCGGCAAAAAACTGAAAAGAATCTTGCCGATGGTTTCGTAGTCGGCACGACCTCTCCACACCAGCTCCTGGGTAGTTAAACCCCGAAGAAGTCGAAAGTTGGGGGGTGAGATCGCAATGGAACGGAGTCCCCCAATCGGGATTCCTTTCGTTTCGTTCGTGTCGTGCGTGCGGGCGAGGCGAAGCTGCGTAGGCGCGCGAGAAGAATGAACCCGCCGCTGCTAGGGCGAAGTCAAGACAAATGATTATCCCCCGGCCGCCCGTCCGGCGAAGGCCCGCGGTGGCCCGTGGTGTCCCGCGGTGTCCCGCGGTGCCCCGTGGGGTCCGCCGCTGCTGAGGCGAAAATAAAACACATGATTCTCCCCCGCCCGCCCGTCCGGCGGTGGCCCGCGGTGTCCCGTGGTGTCCCGTGGGGTCCGCCGCTACTAGGGCGAAGTCAAGACAAATGATTATCGCCCGCCCGCCCGTCTGGCGGTGTCCCGCGGTGTCTCGTTGAATGAGATCGATAATGAGATCGATAGTGAGATCGACAGTGAGACCGATGGTGGGATCGATACTGAGATTCATACTGAGATCGATGTCAGGGTCAGGGTCAGGGTCGCAGCATGCGCCGGAGCGCGCCCTGCGCGGGCTGCTGCGCGCGCGGCAACACACTCCTCTGTTGCCGCCGCCCATTCTTGAATATTCTCACACGCGCCTTTCCTGATGATTCTCACAGACCCATTTCCTTGACAGCTTTCGCACAAAATGCTGCACTGTAGATGATGACGACACAGAAACTGCACAGAGACATATAACAGAAAAGTGTGACAGAGATGTGGCAGAACATGTGACAGAGACAATATAAATTTAGTCGGTCCATCGTTTCGCGGGGCGCCCTGTGGACCTTCTGCCCATGGGGTCCCCCTTCAGCGCGAGGCTCCCCCAGCGCCGGTCTGTGCACTCCTGCAGTATTTGGAAAAGTTTGCTCTTGCGCACGTCCTGCGCCTGCAGCCACGTTGAGAAGCCAAATCTCTCGTACTCCTGCTCGGCGTGATGCGTTGCTCGTTTGATCCAGTCAACGTAAGACTCGTCTGGCGCCCTGCCTGCGCCAACGATCTTCCTGAGCATTCAACGCATGGCTACATTGAGCTTGTGTGATCTTGCCGCGGTGAGCGTCCAAGTACCGCTGCCGTAGAGCACTGTAGAGGACACGACAACGTCGAATAATCTGAATCTGGATTTCAACAGGTAGTGCTTGTTGCACAGCTCGCCCTTGAACCGTCCAAACGCCGCCCAGTCTTTCGAAATGCGGCTCCGGATCTCCACGTCGTGGTGGTGCCCCAATGTGTCCCGTGGTGTCCCAAAAAGTGAGATCGACAGTGAAATCGATAGTGAGATCGACAGGTGTCCCGTGGTGTCCCGAGGTGTCCCGTTGAGTGAGATCCATAGTGAGATCGATAATGAGATCGATACTGAGATCGATGTGGTGCCCCGAGGTGTCCCGTGGTGTCCCAAAAAGTGAGATCGGATCGATAGTGAGATCGATAGTGAGATCGACAGGTGTCCCGTGGTGTCCCATGGTGTCCCGTTGAGTGAGATCGATAGTGAGATCGATAGTGATATCAATGTGGTGTCCCGAGGTGTCTGGTGGTGTCCCGTTGTGTCCTATGGTGTCCCGCTGAGTGAGATCGATAGTGCGATCGATAGTGCGATCGATAGTGAGACCGATAGTGAGATAGAGAGGTGTCCCGCGGTGTCTCGTGGTGTCCCGTGGTGTCCCGTTGAGTGAGATCGATAGTGAGATCGACAAGTGTCCCGTGGTGTCCCGTGGTGTCCCGTTGAGTGAGATCCATAGTCAGATCGATTGAGTCAGATGTTGGTTCCCCCCCATCTCCCCCCCCCACAACCTCCTCATCACCCGAAGGGTGGTCGTATTATAAGGGAGAGGGGATAAGGGAGGGAGGAAGAAATAAATAAATGAGGAAGAAAGAGAGGAGCGAGGGATTCCGGAGGGTACAAGCGACTGCTTCGCGGACCAAGGTGCCGAGCGCCTAGGCAGCCCGCTCCCAGACGGCGAGAGTGCACTTCCTACGCGAATTGCCAGGAAGTCCCAGGCGAGATCGTGTCGAACGGGAGTCGCTGTGCTGTGTGACCAGCCTGAAAACTTGACAGGAAGTCTCGGGCGGAAGTGCCACTATTGAGCGCGAGGACGTATCTGCACAGTGCGCCCATGAGTAATGCAACTGTGAGGAACTATACAGCAGAAACCAGTCGTGTTACAGCTGGGCTTCCACAAGCCTGAATCAGTTGCGAGGAAGTCTCGAGCGAGGTCGCCAGTCCTGAGTGCTAGGACATATGTGGACAGGGCGTATCGGAGCAAGCTGCGTCTCTGACCACAAGTCTCGGTGAGGGACTATCCAGCAGGAGCCGTTGTCGTCGTAGTCGCAGTTGGGCCTTGGACAACCAGGATCGGGGAACAGACCTGCTGGAGCGGAAGCCTCGGCAAGGCGAGGCGCGCGGTGGAGGCGAGAGCGCGCGGAACTGCTTCCAACATATCAGCAGTGACTACCATATCGAAGTGAGGGTTCGACAGCGACGAATGCGACGACGACGACGACGCTGACGACGACAGCGGCGACGACGACGACGACAAGGACGGCGACAGCGGCGACGGCGGCGGCGACGACGCGGCGGCGGCGGCTACCGAATGGTTGCCGGCCAGGGCGCCGGGCGCCTCCACGCCGAAGGCGGGGACGAGGCCCTGGCCCTCCTCTGGCAGCGTGGCCGCCGGAAGCACGCCCATGACGGACAGCCGTTCCTGGAGGCAGGAGGCGGCGACAGAGGCGACAACGACGGCGGCGGCGGCGGCGACGGCAGCGGCGGCGGCGGCGGTGGCGGCGGCGACGGAGACGGCTACGGCGACGGCACGACGACGACGACGACGACGACGACGACGACGACGACGACGACGACGGCGGCGGCGGCGGCGGCGACGACGACGACGACGACGGCGACGACGACGGCGACGAGATGGTGATCACGGCGGCACTCCTTGAGTCTTTCTGTCCGCCGCCCGCTCCGGCGGCCGCCGACGCTGCCGGCGTGGCTGCCGGCGACGCTGCCAGACCTCAGCCCTAACAGGTCGGGACAAGACGGCCAAGCCAGACGACGCCAGCAAACAGGAAACACGCACGGCCAGGACCCCTCGGCGGTCGCCAGAGGTGTCCGTGGCCCACCCAAGGTGTCCCCAGCTCCCTGCGCCGTCCTGCAGCACCCCTGGAGCAGCCTGGGCCTCGTCAGGGGGGGCCCCCCCGAAAATCCTGGAAGCACCATGGGCCAGGGACGCTCCTGGCAACACCCGAACTCGGGGCTCCCGGAGCCGTCTGGTGACGCACCGTCCGATGGCCTCGATGGTCCAGAGACCTGACCAAGCGGTTTGTCGCCCGACGGCTTTGGGTAGGCGCTCGAGACGTCCCTTGAGAACGGCCCATGTCCCAGAACCGCCTGCCCCCCAAATCACTTTTGGCTCACTGGACAGAGCAGTCACTGCCGGGTCGTTTGGGTGCCCCCGAGAATCACACAGAACATGCGGAAGACACGTGCAAGATACACATACTGAGGACCGACGTGCATGGCCATACGAGGGCAGAACACTGAAGGCCGTGCGGTCAAACGAGCGGCTGGCACACAAACACACACACACACACACACACATACACATAAAGTAACTCGCCTGCAAAGCTGTATCCCATACCTGAGCGAGAACATAGCGTCAGTGCGATTTGCTCGAGGCGTGAGACCACCTCTCATGTGCGGATACTGATGTCTGCCTCAACCTCACACAATTCCTACTCCTCCCTCTGATCATCATCATCATCATCATCATCATCATCATCATCATCATCATCATCATCATCATCATCATCATCATCATCATCGTCGTCGTCATCATCATCATCATCATCATCATCAGCATCATCATCATAATCATCCTCATCATCAACATCATCATCAGCGTCATCATCATCATCATCAGCGTCATCATCATCATCATCATCATCATCATCATCATCATCATGATCATCATCATCATCATCATCATCATCATCTTCATCAGCATCAGCATCAGCATCAGCATTCGCATCAGCATCAGCATCATCGTCATCATCATCATCAGCATCATCTTCATCGTCATCGTCATCATCATCATCATCATCATCATCAGCATCATCTTCATCGTCATCGCCATCATCATCGTCATCGTCATCATTATCGTCATCATCATAATCAGCAGCAGCAGCGGCAGCAGTAGCGTCGGCATCCTTATCATCCTCATCACCACCATCATGATCAGCATCATCATCCACCTCCTCCTCCTCATCATCATCGACATCATTCGTTGTCGTCGGCGTCGTCATCATCAGCATCATCATCATCAGCATCATCATCATTACCATAGTCGCCATCGGCATCATCACCATCATCATCAGCATCAGCATCAGCATCATCAGCATCATCATGAAGATCATCATCATCGTCATCATCATCGTTATCATCGTCATCGTCATCCGCAGCATCATCATTAGCATCATCATCATCATCAACATCATCGGCATCGTCATCATCATCACTAGCATCGGCGTCACCATCATGATCATCACAGTCGCCATCATCATCATCATCATCATCATCATCATCATCATCATGATCATCATCATCATCATCGTCATCTTCATCGTCATCATGATCTTGATCCTCACAATCATCATTATCATCATCATCATCATCATCATCATCATCGGTATCATCATCGTCGTCGCGGCATCGTCATCATAAGCATCATCATCATCAGCATCATCATCAGCATCATCAGTATTATCACCGTCGTCATCATCGTCCTCAGCATCAAGATCATGACACCATCACAGTCGTCATCATCACCATCAGCATCATCATCAACAGCATCATCATCATCGTCAACATCGTCGTCATCGTCATCGTCATCATTATCGTCATCGTCGTCATCATCATCATCATCACCATCATCATCGTCCCCAAAAACCGCATGGCAACGAAGGCGAGGCCCCATGTGACACCGGAATCGTCGCGGGGGTCCGTTGCAACATAAGCCGATCTTTGTTCTAGACTTGCCTCCTGATCCTGCTCCTCCCTCTTGCCCATCCAGCCCCCAGCACTACCCTCCATCCCTCCCATCCCATTCTTCTCAGGAGCTTCCCAGGAGGCCATCAAAGCTTCGGAGGCCCAACGGAATGCAAAACAGTCCGAAAACCTGAAGCCTCGAGCCTCGATGCGCGTGCCCGCGCGCGCGACAGAGGGAACGCGCAGAGGGCCGACCGGCTGCCCGCGAGTGAGACGGAGCCGCCAGGCGACACCCCGGTGGCGCTGCGCGCAGGGCTGCGCGTCGGGCTGCGCCCTGGGCTGCGCCCCGATCGCCGCAGCACCTTGCGCGCGCGGCGAGGAAGAGCTCTTGCGCCGCCGTTGCCCCCCTCCCTTCATCACTCCCTGGCTCCCTCCCTCCCTCCCTTCTCTTCCCTGAACTATTTCCCTCCATCCTTCTCTCCTTGCTCCTTCATTCCTCACTCCTCGACTCCCTTCCTCCCTTCCCTCCCCCCAAGTATCCCCACATTTTCTCCTGCGTCCCTGCACCCTCCCCCCCCCTCGCTACCATCCGAAACTCATTCATATGGACGACAGACAGGCGATATGATTCGACTGGCGGCATTGACTTCTCTGGTCGGCGCTGCAAGCCGCACCCATTGACAGCCCGACTTCAAGTCCGCCTCGCAAATCAGTCACCCAGCGCATCCCGCCAGTAGGCTCGAGAAATCTCGGAACTCTTCTTCGGATGCTGATGGTATATCGGTGGTCGTGGGCCTGGCGAGGTACGCTGCGACGGGGGCCGCCAAAATGAAGCCTGGAGCAAATGGGGCCAGGGGATCGCGCCGCATCGCCGATGGATCGGGGATGCATCGGCGATGGCGATGTATCGGCGATGTCGGGATGGAGAAAATCACGCTTCAGATCGCGGAGAGAGCGCGTTTCACGGGCGCTCGCCCTGGGAACATTCGGCGGCGCGTTTCGAGCCCGGGGGGGGGGCCCACCAACACTCGGCACCGTCGATCAGAACCAACGGGGTCTCCCCTCCCGCCTAACCCCCCCTCCTCCCGAACCCCCCCCCTCCCCTTCCCAGGGAGGGTCCCCCCCCCCAGGAAAGGAGTAGGAGACTCTAACTCCCCCAAGATTTTTTCCAACTTCCCGATGGCGGGGGAGTCGAACCCTCCCCCCCGCTCTCTCCTCGGTGCCGGTTCTGGCGCCTGCGCTGGCGGCGGCCGGCAGCACCAACGGCAACCGCAGCGACGATGACCAGAGAGAACCCAGAAGCCGCCACGGGAAAATACAAATTGCCATATCGAGCCTTCGCTTCCCAAAAGCCACCAAGCCCTTAAGGAGTTCCCAGAGACGCCCAAGAGGCGCCCACGAGCCCTCACACATGCTCCTCAGGCGCCCCCGAGACCCTTTCTGACGAGACCCCAGGAGGCATCCATTGGAACTGCAACCCATAGCCAAGACACGGTGACGGGAAGACCCGAAGGCCACACCAGAACCACCACCACAAACCACCACACCACCACCACTACCGCCACCATCACAACCACAACCACCACCACCACCACAAATCACAGCACGCCACCACCACCACCACAACCGCCACCAAAAACCACAACCACAACCACAACCACAACAACAACAACAACAACAACAACAATCGTTCTAAGACTGTTCGCTCTTTCTTGCCCGCGAATCATTCAAAACGAATTCCCCACACCCTCGATGCCCGCTCTTTTTGTCTTCGATCACATCCCCTCTTGGGGGATTGTTTCTCTGTGCGGGGGGCGGCGGGCTCAGACAGGCGGGCAAACCTGAACGGGCGGACAATCCTTCGTGGGCGTACATGTGCCCGCCATTGGAATTGGAGTGGGCCCTGCAAAAAAAGGAGGGGAGGAAGGGAGGGGGAGGGGCGAAGGAAGACGGAAAACGCCAGGAGAGGAGCGAAGAGGGGGGCGGTCGATTAGAGACAGAGAGAGAGAGAGAGAGAAAGAAAGAAAGAGAGAGATGATGTTTTGTGTTTGCGATCTCCCCGATGGCGCACCGCAGCTCACCGAGGTCCACAGTCCAGTGCTAGCGAGCCTGCAGGGCGGCTAGCACGGCCCGCTGCTCAGCTGGCGGGAGAAGAACAACCCCCCCGTCGCACAGTCTTTGACTGGCGTACGGGTTCACCCCCCGCAAGAGCTTGCCACGACGGCATGTGGCCTGCGCGTTGGCAGGCTCTCCCTCGCAGTGCAGGCAGAGTTTCTTCGCCCGCCCGCTGGAAAAGACCCCGCAATTGCCGCATAACACAAAGCCTCCAGCACGCAGGAGCACGTGCCGGCGGCAGGGTGGCCCATGCGAGGGTCTCGCAGGCAGCACAAAACGGGCCACCCTCGCAGGCACGCGCCTGCAGGGCGTGCGAAAGAGTGCACGCTTGCCCTGCGCAGTGCGCGAGTACCTCCCGCACTGCTGACACCTCCAGGCCTTGCGGCCCCAGGCCAGGGAATGAGGGTGGGTCCCAGGGGGGCGGGGGGGGGGGCCTCCTGAGCACGACGACGAACCCACTCCCCACTCCGCCCCTGGTCACGGCGGCCAGCGGCGCCCTTGAAAGTCCCTAGTTGCGTGGTCATGCACGCAACAATGTTACGCACAGTGGCTGAATCCTTGGAACGCTGGAGCCAGGCCTGCTTCAGCCAATCAGGGGGGTCGTGCAGGGCAGCGCCCGCTTTGGCCTGCTTGTCGGCCTGCGAATTCCCCAAGACATCGAGGCGGGCCTGCCCGACAAAGGCGTCGGGATCGCGGCCCGCGCGGGCCTTCGCCTTGGCCACTTCGAGCGCGCCAGGCCCTCGGAACCCGCCCCGAACAAGCATCCAGATTTGTCGCCGCAGGTCGGCATGAGGGCGCCTGGCTTTCGCGCGCCAGCCCCCCCCCCCCCCCCCCATCCCCTCAGGAAGCCACGGCGCACCGTTCTGTCATCTACGGCGACCTGAAGTGGGGCGCCCCCGTGCTGCAGCACATTTAAAAAGCCCATTAATTCCGCTCTCAGGACCGAGCCCAAGAGACGCAGTTCCCCAAGGGCGCCGCGACCAGCCTCGACGACACGACCGTCCCCGTCGAGAAAAGCAACCCCCCATCCGAATGATTTGCACCCTGGGGGGCCACTCCCCGAACCATCGGAGTGCGCAAACCCCGAACTGAGGGGGTCGTCACCGAATTCAGGGTCTAACCCCTCGTGGTAGTCCTGGACAAGCGAGAAGGGGTCGTCGACAGGGTGGGCCGTGAGGCCTCGCGCAAACAGGAGGGATGATGGCGGGGATGCCGCCGCTCTCTGGGCAATTTCTGGCACTTCCTCAGCCGCAACGCTGCGAGCTCCACTTAGACCTGGGCACTTGCAGAAACGGCGGTGCTGCGTGCCTTCGGGCGCTTGACAGAGTTGGCACTCGCGAGAGTCGCTGTGCCCAGCCTTCCAGACCTTGTCCTGAGTCCAGAATGATTTACACACAAAGGCCAAAATGGCCTGCTGGCGCCCGGGGTAGTTTCGACGCTGCCGAAGGGCAGCGCGGATAGGCTCCAGGGAGGGCCGACCAAACCTGAGGTCCCTGGCTGAAGCCCGCGCGGCGAGCTCGACGGCTTCGGGCCTGGCCGTCACGAGCCCCTTCAAGGCAGCGGGGGCCATGCGTCGGATGTCGAGGCGGTACCCCGTGCGGGCGAGGATGGAATGATAGGCTGGCCAGTGCCATCCAAGCCTGCCGAGCGCGGCAAGCACGGCCGACGCCGGCCCGCAAACCTGCCCCCAGCGGTTCGCGAGCGGTCGGGCTGCTAATTTACTATTAGCTTGCCTCCAGCCAGCCTCGAGCTCAGCCAAGGCTACATCATTGAAGACGGAAGTGGCCCACTGCACAAGGGGCTTGATGCGTGCTTCGGTCACGGGGTCAACGCGGCGCAGCCACAGTCTCAGAGCACGGTCCTCACCGATAGCAGCACCTCCAAGACTACTCGTCACTAATTGCCTCGTGGTGTCGAGCTTGCTGGGGACCATGCCTAAGCACGAGGAGCCGTACGTAAGGGAGGGAATCCGGGCACAACCAACAACCTTACCCACTCGCGCCCCCTGACGAGCGCACGCCGTTATCTTGCGCTTCCGCTTGGGGGCCGTCTGCTCGCGGCCCCAGATACGCCCTCGAACTCTCGCATGCTTGCCACCAGCGCTGTCCACGCAAAGCTGGTCGCTAAAAGATTAAAACTCGAGGCCGAGGCGGCCTGCCCAGCGCTTGCACGCCTGGCGCGCGCGGCGAGAGGCTGACAGAATGAAGCCCTTGCCGGCCGTGCCTCCAGCGCGGCGGCGAGAGACGGGGAGACCATCACCCTCGATCTGGTCGATGTAGTAGGCGACCGCGTCTCCCAATTCTTCCGAAATAGTAATAGGATCCGCTCTGCGCTGGAGGCTGACGCCATCGACGCACAGGATGATGTGATCGAGAACTCTGATGACCACCGCCCACAGCGCTCGAGCGCCTGCGGCGCTGCCAACCACCACGGCAGAGTAGGTGGAGCCACTCTGAGAACTGGTGACTCCCCTGAAGGCCACACTCCTAACACAAGTGAAAATTGAAATCTCCATCTTCCGTCAATGTCGGGAGAATCCAACCTCATCTGCAATCTCCCAGAGCTTGTACATCGAGGTGTGCTCGAAGGCCTTTTCCAAATCGCGAACCCCAATGGCCGCGGCAATTCCAGTGGTCCTGTTGGCCCCCTCATCGATAAGCATCTGGTGCCAAATTGCTTACTCGGCCCCGCCTCCAGGCCCAGCCGCAGCGTAGGGCCTTCGAATCATGGCCCCCAGGCATAGAAGAGCGGGGCACGGGCCTTCTCGGCCGCGCGCATGGGGGCGGGCAAGAGTCCAAGAAGTCAGGTTCCTCCCTATGGCTGCTGCAGCAAGGAATACAAGGTGAATCTAGTCCGCGGCGGCCAGCGAGCCCTACGCGAGACGCAGTGCACGAAGTCAACCAAGTACTGCACAGCACCGTCCGAGAGCCAACTCCACCAGCGAGGATGCCAACGGTCGGTGCCAATGCCAGCGTGCGGCTTGAAAGCGCGACAAACAGCCCGAAGCCGCTCTGGCGTAATACTAGCGATGCCCTCCATCATGCTGTCCTCATACTCCATGTCCTCCCAAGGCCGATGCGGGGTGCCCATGCTGATGGATCCGTGACTAGCCCACGCATCGAACCAAACTTTGGCCTCGACGTCTGCGGCCTTCTGAGGGTCTTCCATTTGAAATGAAGTGAAACCTGCTTTCTGAAAGGGAACCGGTGGCGTCGCCCATTTGGTAAATCGATGTATGTAGCCTGCA